CTATATGCACAGCATAATGTTTTTCTATAATACTTTTTACAAGACTGGTTTGGTTTCTGTTTTGCTTTGTGGAAGAAGTTTTCCCCCAGAATGAGGCTTCGATTTCTACTTTTAGATATATTGAGTCAGAAACAAAGTATCTTCTTCCAAAAAAAGTAGGAGATAAATAACTGGTAGCCAGACTAAATCTCCCCTTCCCCTGCCCTGATTAAACAGCTTGTAATATTGAAAACCAATTAAAAAAAAAAAAAGTATCTTGATGTTTACCTACTGCACTATCAGTCCATGAGCTATTAGTTTGCAAAGCATTAGGAAAAAACTGAAGTCTAGGAAATATACTAAAGCCACAGCCTAGTCTATATTTTTTATTTCTGATACTATGTGGTTCATGATTGTTTCTTTTAGAAGGAACAAATAATCAATACAAAACCATGGATAAAAATAACTTTTCTTTAAAACTGGTTGCTAAAAGAACATATAGTCTTCTTACTGTGCCTGATGGAAACAGTACAAGTCTGTTCTCCACAATTCATTGTTTATTGGAATGTCTGAAATCTATATGTGAGGTATTTTTAAAACATTTAAACATAGAAGTTAAGCTTCTGCTCCAGACAGTTTGGTTCACCATATTCTAAAAACCCACTGTGTACCACAGAAGTGCTTGAAGCAAAGAAAGAATAATAACATTTTTAAAAAGCAAACTTCAATATAAGATAAAATAATGTTCATATTCTTATCTCAGGGAAAATTTCCTTTCCTTATGAGACACGTTTCAGCTATTTATTGGCTCGGCTGCTGTACAAGACCTGCAAGGGCCAATTCTGTTCTGTGGCACCTTACAGAGAAGAGATGCCAGTAGACAGCGTTTGGCTCTTTCAGAAAAAGAGGTTAGCTTCTGCAAGTACTGAACAATCAAAACATTACTAATGATCTAGAAACTCTGAATGGGGTCTCTCCTTAGGAAGTGGAGAAATAAAACACTGTGGATTAGCATCACTAAAGTGGAATGAACTTGGCATGTGCAGGTGTGGGAGATGCCACCTGGCTACTGGAGTAGGTCTGGACCAGAGGATAGATAACCGTACGGGAGGCTGAGAGCCCACGTCGTCAGTCTTATCCTGCTCAGAGACGTGGACCGGTTAAAGTCCCCTGTACCTTCATACTCCTTTTGCAAAGTTGCAAATCTTTTGCGCTCTACTCTATTCTGACGGAATACCTATCCAATTCAGCTACGTGTTTGCTGTTTACAAGCTGAAGTGCAATGCTGTCTTGTAGGATCGGACCCAGACCTCACTCAGCTGTATCATGCTCTGTGATGTTCAAATTGCAACTCTTCTGCTTGCAGAGCTTTTGCTGAAGTTAGCTGAGGCCTTGCAAGCAGAGGATTTTGGGTGTTCAGCCAAACAAAGCCTGCGTGCTGGCCAGTCAGCTCTGCTTGAACATGTCACTTCCATTCTGCAGAAGTGTTGCATAAACAATGAAGACTGCAAGGCAGAGACATTAATTTAGGCCTACTTTATTGCAACCCCTCTTGCAGCTAAAAGATCTAACGTACAATTAACTACATGAGCTTAATAGTGATGCACGTTTTACAGATGACATAATAGTGGCTATAAATGAGCCTTTTCCTCAATACCTCCCTAGTTAATGTATTCAAAATATGAGGTCACTTGTTGAGTCTTCCCAAAATACTCTTGTTAGGATTAGAATATAACTGTTCTCATTAAAAAACATAATTTGCAGCTAACCACAGATATTTAATATGTATCACGTGCATCTTGAAAGGCATCTGCTTTGAGACACTATTTAATTCATGTTCTTGTGTGCGTATGAAATACAATACAGAAACTCTGCTATCACCAACAAACATACATAAAGACATAATAAGATATGTACTAACTTGGAAAATCAATTTTTCCAGCAAGAAATATATCCTAAGAACCTTCCTTCTTTATGCGTGCACGTACATGCGATAAGAAAACCTTTACAATAGTATGTCTGTCTTCTAAATAGTTTAACTAATAGAATGTAATATTTGAAACACCAGTATTTGACACAAATTATTTACTTAATACCTGACATTTTTCAGCCTTTAAAACTGGAAAGGTCTTCTATACTTGTTTTTAGAACTTCTCTGCTTCTGAGAGTCTACATTTCATAAACCGCTGACAACCGATGCTACTTTATTCTAAGATAACACACTGCCAAATCCAAAGATTCAGGGTTGATCTTTACTCGTGTTTGAGAAAACCAAACAAATATTAATCCAATTCAGTAACAGCTTGAGTTAATACAACCTTTTCATCAGAATTAAGATGATGGTCCGTACTTCTTAGTGGCTTATAGTTCAGATCAAATAAAATGTCCCCAGGAATGCAAGGAAATTAGAAAAAATGAGCTTTCAGGTTACTTTAAAATTTAGTAATTTAGGCCTTTCTGTACCATCAGCAAATGTACATGCATGTTTCGTAGAAGTCAAACTATGGAATTTATGTGGTAAAAATTCCTGGCCATATTTAAGCTTGTAAAGTATTCTTATGTCTTTTACTTAAAAAAAAAAAAAAAAAAAAAAAGAGAAATATCTCTGAACACAAACCAGTAACTAATAACTCAGCAATGTAACTTACCTTTTTTCAGCCAAGAAATATTTTGCTTGTCATGTTCAAAACTTTCTGCTGGTTTGATTTTTACCTTGTCTGTCTCGGCTTCTGACATCTGTGGGAGAGAAAAGAATTTTGGGATGTCAAGTTCTTTTAAAGAAAGTTTCTGGCAAAGAAATACGTCCTCTGTTTAGGTTCCTGCTATAATAAATTGTGCTTACTTACACAGACACAATTTTTTCTGCAGATTATTGATACTGTGTAATACCTCAGTCATTAAATTTATGTTCTGTTCCTAAATGCTTTATCAATATTACATAGTTGCTGTTTGTAGATGGATTCTTTTGTAAAGTAACTATAAATTCCATTATGAAATGAATGAGCGATATGCTTGTAGCATGCTGGTAATAGATGTACACATAACACGGAATAGATACGGTCTGGCTAAAAAGGAGGCATCCAGTCTGCCTGTTTGTTGTGGTTCAAAGTTACTGTAAAGCCTGCTGTCAGAGAGAGGTATAATTATGTGAATAATGATAAATATTTATAAAGGCAACTTGAACAAAGTGGATCCAAAAAAATTTTTACTGCCACTTGTGACAATTTATTTGCTGTAATGCAAAGAATCACATGCAAGTTACAGTACCTGAGGGTATTATGTATACGGTAGCTATCAGCCCGTACACTGTGGTTTACTTCCATTGCCTGCTAGGAATAAGATTAGGCTGTCCGGCTTTCTTCTAACTGTTTTATATTTTCACTGAATCCAGTTAGCTAAAGCATTTCTCTATTTTTACCTGTATCTTCCAACCGGGGGTGAAAGCAGCAGGGTTCAGACGCCGAGGAGGAGTGCTTTCGGCCAAATCCCTCGCTGTGTGTTGATGTCCAGCATTCCCATACACTGACAAAACCGAAAGGATGAGCAGTGCACTCTCTGCCTGCCTGCTGTGTGGTGCTAGATTTGTCTTCCTGCCAGAATCAGCCAACTTATTGCTGAGGGTTTTTTTTTTTTTCCCCTTTTTGTTTGCCTGCACTTCTAGAGCTGGGTAGGGTAGGAAAGGAGGGGGGTAATCAGCATCCCAGCACTAGTGGAGTGATAAAAAAAATTTAAAAATAAAAAGCTTTGCAAAAAAGAAAAATTGTTTTGGAAAGGTTATTACTGCAGTTCATAACCCAGTGAATCTGCAAGAGGAGGGAGAAAATAGAGAACTAGGAAATTAATAGCGACAAATCAGATAAACGTGTCAATGTTTTGGCTAAATGTAAGTTAGAATACTGAAGGATGTAGAAATTAGACCCTAAATGTCTATTTACAGCTGCCACTTTGGCAAAGAAATGGTCTAATCCTGTGGGAAGCTGAGTGCTGTGACCCTCCTGAGCTCAGGAGGGTGAAACCCATCATCACCCAGGAGGGCAGGTCTGCAGAGATGAACGGTCGTTACCTCCGTTGCAGCAAGGCTGAGTGGTCTCTAGCGGGGACAGCCCTTGTGCCGGGTGGGCTTGACAGCAGCACAGAGGCCAGGGGGACAGTCTGGACTACTCCGTACCTTGAGGGCACTTAAAATTTAAAGTTAGTAGTTGGTTTTAAAAATTCTCTTGCCGCAGTTACCAGCAATATTGCTCTAAGGTTAGTAGGAGTAGAGTGAAGCCTGAAAAGAACAAGATTTTAGGGTGCTCAGATGTTGGATCTTACTTTTTCTATAGGACAAAAAGAAAATGTCACTCTGCTTCCCAGAACTGAATTTTGAAAGTGGTGGTTGCAGAGCACATTCAGAATTACTCAGTTATCTTACCTTTCAAGCAATATTTACAAAAATTTCAAGCAGCATTTGTCACCAGATACTATAATCCAAGATCCCAGTGCTTAAGTGTGGCCAATAAATAATAACATATTCCCTTTGTTATGACAATTATCTTCCTTTACTCTCCCATCACATGTCATTCTTGCAAGAAAAAAAATGTTTTCTTTCTTTTTTTTTTAATCTCCTGTGCCAACATGACTGAGATTCTTCTACCATCTTTAGCTAATTGTGAATTGCATGGTAAGTGCCTACTTACATCTCCAAATTGCAATGATTAGTCTTGCATGGTTTGAAAACCTATTTTAAGCAGGGTACTTTGGGAATAAGTGCAACCACAGGGGGGAAACATCTAGGGGTAATATTTTAAGATCTTTGTTGCATTCCCCTTCCATGCAGCTTTGAGAATCATGTATTTTCAATTGCAGTTCCCCTCTTTCTCCTAGAAACACCTAATTTTTTTTCCATGTTGTTGCACCTGCAGTGCTTTAAATTCATCAGTAGTGTTGATTCTTCAACTGGATTTGTCAGGGCAGGCTATAGAGTTCCTGGTGGGTCCTAATAAAATCAGCTGGGCTCCACACAGATCAGCCTGGACCTATCTGATTGCAACTTGGACCTGATGCTACTGTGCATTTCAGAAACACTGTTTAAAATGAAGATATGGTTGTTTTGGCACCCCCTCCCTGTTTTTCTAGAGATTTTGTTGAAAGACTAATGTCTACCAAAGAAAGTAAAACAGACAAGAAAAGCCTCTCCAAAACCACAGCCCAGAACACTGCTGTTGCTTGTAATAACAGCCCCTGAAGTCTTGTCTTTAAGGGTTTTTTCACTTAAGCTCTCCTTGAAACCAGCAGGAGCTAGAACTGAGTCTAGACTCAGACTCCAGGAGTGCAAGAAACCAGCATTGCTGACAGCCCGTTGCTAAATGCATCCCCCCCCAAACCATGACAATACCAATTTGACAAAACCAAGCAAACACAAACCTGACTTTGTATCTGTGCTTCAACAAAGATAATGCAGATCACTGTTCTGAGATGATCTCGTCATCTGCTGCTCTCAGCCGAGATGCCCTGTAGGACCCCTCTGCGTGTTGGTAGCATGCAAATCTGCAGAAGTCACCTAACCTGAACCTCAGCCCACCAGTGAGTTAAGAAAACATTAAATGACTTTCCTATTCAGAGTACTCTCCATTGCTGACATTCAATTAATGATCCTAATGTTTTCAATCCAGGAACATTAAATGTAACCTTTCTTAATCTCGATCAACTCCAGTTTTCTACTGAGACATGTTTCAGTGTGCTATTTTTTTTTGCCTCATTTAATTAAGTTATTTTGGATAAATGCATCAATATTTCTGTTTCCTAATCAATCTTAAAGGAGTTAGAGGAAAGACAGGCTTGCCATGCATTCTCGGTAATGCCAGGCTTTGCAAAGGAGGAAAAAACCATTATGAGAGAAGGTCATTAAAATATTGAGTAAACTTGTTTCTATTAAAGCTGTAATTGAATTTTTAAAGCCATGTCCCATTTTAAACACCGAACTTTAGTTTATGGTTTGATAATTCATTTCACTTTTATTTTATAGGTTTTATTTTATAGCTATTAAATAGCTATGGGCCATCACTTGTTCCTTTTCCTTCCAGATTGTGAAATAGGGCATTTATATGGAGGATTAAAAAAAAAATAAAAAATTTATAATGCCAAAATAGATGTGATATCAATCAGTTGCCAGATAAATGTACTGTATCAAGTGCTTGTTGAGATTTGAGAGTATGTTTTTCTGGTCTGCTCAACTGCAAGTGCATTCAAGTCTTTACAGAGTTGGAGAATAGGAAACTTTAATAGGTTATAATAACCATCAAAGCAGAGGAAAAAACCTCATTGTTGTCCTAGCAAGCATCAAAACTGTCAAGGTTTCCTTGTGTGCTTAATGTTAGGTCAGGAGTCCAGAATCAGATCCTGTCCTGCATCTGAGGGAGGATGTGTAGCTGTAGCCAGGAGGGTTTTTGGTTACATCCATAGGTACAGCATTTACAACATCATACATCACTCCCTGAAGTGACTTTTTACTTGATAATATCAACTGTGTGCCTAAAGTTGAATTTTCCAGCATGAATTTTCCAAGGCACAGCATCAGATTGAGCAGTTACTACTTTCCTGCAGAATCCAGGTAAAATTTAGCCACTTGTCCACTGGCAAGTGGCGCTCTGTAGCTTTGGAATACCCCACGCTGCAGTAAATGTGGGGTTTTTTTAAAAAAGTATGATGAAACTATGCCTTTGCTCCCTTTTGCACCCTGGGGTGATCATTTCCAATAATAAAGTGAGTATAATGTGATGTGCCCTGTCAAAGTTAAGGAATCTCCTCTTGATCATGCATCTGTAGGTAGAATATTAAGTTGTGGGAACACGATACACAGCCAAATTATCCTGGTGATTACATGTAAAATGCATGGTTTTTTAGCCGAACCATCATGTCCTGTGAGTGTTTCAAATGCAAAACAGCCTGTTTATAGAGACTACCTCAAACTGGCACTGACAAATGATCTATATGCTGCAGAGGCTCTGAGCAGTACAAAGGCAGTAGGATTTTACTCCCCATCACTCTGCCTCGTAGACACTCGATAATTTTTCAATAACTGTGTCCTGCAAGGGGAGACACAGGGCTTTATTTCACTTTTCCACTCAGTGCCACTGTAGGTCGGTGAATGTCTGGGAATATGCTTAGACTTGGGGATGGAATGAAAGCTTGAAAAGGGTTGCAAAGGCAGGTTAGCATAAGGTCACTAATAACGTAGAGGAAGCACAAACCAGTAAGATTAAGAATGCTCCGTATTTCCACTGAACAGTAAAGAAAAGAGAGAGACTGCACGTCTTTCATCTTCCAAGAGGGCAGGAAGGAGGTTACTTGGTGTCTGTGCTAAAAAGTGGTGATGGGGACATTGTTAGGAGAAGATGATGAAGGGCAAATGTGAAATAAAGTTAAGAGGATGATAGTGTGGTGCTGGGATGGGGAAACAGAAAGATCCAACCTCTAACCCTGGAGCCACGAAAGCTCCATCCAAGCTGGGAAAGGGCCTCTCAATGCAGCAGTATGCTTTGGCCATTTTCCTTCCTACCAGCAGCAAACTCTTGGAGACCCCAGTCAAAATTAAAGCCCAGGCTTTATGATGGTTTTATAGTAACATACGGGTTAGGTGTGCCTTTGTATATCCTGGCTTCAAGTAGCAAATTCTCCCGTGCTGTTTCATATTTTATCCATCACAGGCCAAGTTCTGCATTACCTCTCTGTGTGCTGTCTTTATAGATGCTTCTGCATTGCCCTGGAATTTAGGTGGGTGTCTTTGGTTGGAAAGTACCTTAAACCTAAGGGATTTTTTTTTTTTAAAGATATATAATGTGTTATGGGACAAAAGGCTCGGTTTGGTGCATTTGGAAAGGTGGATGAAACAAGTCCCTTTGGACCCGTCCAGACCAAGGGAGACCTGTCTGGACAAATATTTTAAAGCCTCTTGGGCTTTTTTTATTTGAAAGCCTCGTGGAGGGGACGTATCCTTTGGCAGATGGGTGTCACCAACAGTAACAAGACTTTTATGGGAATGTACAGGAATTAGTGTGACAGGTGCAAAAAATGAAGGTTCTATCTTTATTGCAACGGTTCATTATTACTGTCTAGAAACCAGCTATCTCGGATTATTGCAAGGCCCCTAGCTGAATATTTTTACAGGAATTTTAGAGAATCTCAGGAGACCTTGTTTAGCTCAATGCAGGATCGACTTTCTGTGTGTCTCCTTGCCAATACTCAGACAACCTGTTCTTGCAGTCCTACAAAGACATCCAGGTATGTGCCCTTTCCAGGCAGTCTACTCCAGTGCTTTTCTATCCTGATAACAAACACAAAACCTTTTCTTGATGGCAAACCTAACTCCTCCTTTGCTGCAGATTCAGCCCATTACCTCTTGTCCTTTCTGTTCTGCCTGTGCAAAGCTGAGTTTCCTATCCCTTTGCGATAATCCTTTCAGCAGGTAAAGGAGCATTCTCACATCTTCCCTCACCTTTTTTCAACACTTACATGTGGATCATATTCATTAGCCTATGATCAATCTAACAATTTTTGTTGGAGTGTCA